AAAAGATGATAGATATGATCATCATGGTGTGTAGTGAAAAGTAACACCGCGTTGGATGGCAATAGTTGTTGTTGTTGTTATAATGATTGTTGTAGTGATGAAGAATAAAAGTTGTTAATCCAACAAAATTCAATGAAATTATGTCCGACACGTATTGTTGTTATTGTTGGAAACAAACATTCAAGAAGTACCACAATTTAAATATATATTCCATCATCCAAAAGATTCAACCATCCATGTTTTTACAAATTATCATCATCATCATCAATTTTCAAACATTATTCATCCGATAGTAAGATATCCCACCAACATTTTGTCATTCAAATCCTCCACGCCACAATACCATCTACTTACGCTTCATACACGTTGAATTCACCTCTCTTCTCAGGAACTCTCGTTGGAGCCTCTACACTATCCACAACAGCCGATGGGAACAAAAACTTTGGAAAGTAGTTTTTGTTGAGGGAAACAACTTCAGAGAGGAAACGATAGGCGGTAGCAGCAGATCCACGAAGCATTATTTTTTAGGACTTTACAATAATGTGCTTTTTGGGCGCATCTTGCTTCTGCCATCTCTGACTACCATCACAGCACAAGGATTGGAAGCTCTGTTTTATTTACATTCATCTTCACAACCTTGATTATATTTGTTGAGAACAAGAAATTTCTCTTTGAAGATAGGTGTTTGTAAATGACAAAAGGGTACTTCCAGTTTTTGGGCGAACATTTATATATTTTTCAAGTTAAAAAAATGACTCCAAAGCCTAAAGTGCTGGGCGTGGCTGAAAAGCCGGAAGCAGCCAAACAGATTGCAACAATTTTGAGTGGAAACAATTTCAAGAGGAGAGAAGGAAAATCAAAGTTTAACAAAGTATTTGAGTTTGAATATAGAATGAACGGACAAGTAGTAACCATGTGCATTACATCGGTGTTGGGCCATTTGATGGAGTTGGATTTTGAAGGCAAATTCCGATCATGGGCTTCATGTGATCCGATTGTTTTGATGGATGTTTCAACACCAGTGATACGTACTGTTCCAGAAAAAATGCTGAAATTGAAAAGAACCTTGAAAACGAAGCCAGAAATGCAAGTAAATTAATTTTATGGCTCGATTGCGATAGAGAAGGAGAAAATATTGCATTCGAGGTCATTGAAGTTTGTAAACGAGTCAATAGAACGCTCTCTATTGAAAACAACACAATTTTAAGAGCTAGGTTTTCAGAATTTACTCCAGCAGCAATTAACAGAGCAATTAGAAATTTGGAAAGACCAAACGTTTTGGATAGCATGGCAGTGGATGCTCGACAAGAGTTGGATTTGAGAATTGGTGCAAGTTTTACTCGATTTCAATCAATGAGGCTTCAAAAAAGTTTCACGGATTACCTGGAGATGTCATTAGTTATGGACCATGTCAATTTCCAACTCTTGGATTTGTTGTAAAGAGATTTGCTCATTAAGAATTTCGAAAGTGAAAAATTTTGGACGTTAAATTGCTCTCATGACATGGGCGAAGAGGGAAAAGCCCAATTTTGTGGAAACGAGGACGATTATTTGACCATCTGACCTGTCTTGTACTGTACGAGTTGTGCGTTGAAAATCCAACAGCAACAGTTACACGAGTTGACAAAAAACGAAGAACCAAACAACGACCTGTTCCTCTCAACACCATTGAACTCCAAAAATTAGCATCTCAAAAATTGCGCATGAGTTCGCACGACACGATGAAAGTGGCAGAGTCCTTGTACAATAAGGGTTTCATCAGTTATCCCAGAACAGAGACAAATAACTATAATCAGTTTTCAGATGACGATTTGAAAAATCTAATTCAAGAACACTCTACAAATCCAGTTTGGGGACAGTATGCCTCGGACTTATTGAATGGAGGCTATCGAAAGCCAACCAGTGGCAAACAGGATGACAAGGCTCACCCTCCTATTCACCCTCTCAAAGGATCTTGTCAGACGAATGATCAGAAAGAGCAAGATTTATACGAATTAATATCAAGACATTTTCTCGCTTGTTGCTCTCAAGATGCGTTGGGTTCAGAAACGAAGGTTCACATTGTCATTGCTAATGAAGAGTTTACTTGCTCTGGACTGATGGTTGAACAAAAGAATTATCTCGAAATTTGGAAATATGACAAATGGTCCGACAAGAGCATTCCAGTGTTTCAACAAAATCAACAATTCGTTCCAACTTCACTTCTGATGGATGAAGGGGAAACAAGACCACCTCCACATCTTTCTGAATCGGATCTCATTTCGGCCATGGACTCCAATGGTATTGGAACTGATGCTACAGTAGCTCAGCATATCAAAACAATTCAAGACAGAGGATACGTGATCAAGAGAGGAAATAGATTTGAAGCAACTAATTTAGGAATAGCACTTCTGCAGGGCTATGACCTTATTGGCTATGAACTGTCAACACCCAATCTGAGAGCTAAAATGGAAAAAGATATGATGTGTATTAGTCAAGGACAAATCACAAAGGATGCCGTTATTAATCAAAGCTTGGCAATGTACAAGCATGTGTTTATGCAAATTTGTAAATCTGCCCATTTGTTGGACAAGGCTGTTCAACAACATTTCAAACCTATTGGAGAGTCAGGACAAAGTAAGGTCTTGGTGAGATCCTTCTCAATGTGTGGCTGTGGAAACAGCATGGATTTGAAAGAGCAAGACGGGCAT